CCCCCCGCAGTAATAGTATGTATAGATAACAACGCGTTATTTTGATCGTTTATTTTTGTTTACATTCAGTCTGTAATCAGTCCGGCAAGTGGGCTATTTATAATCTTAATGTTTTTGTTTGTTTGTTTTTTCTTCGCTGTCGAGTGTCCAGTCGACCACGGGAGTCAAACCCACACTTTCCTTGATACCTGGCGGATACGTTAATCATTGTGCCTGGCATCAAGCCGGGTATAATTTACTTTCCCAGAATTCACTCCTAAGTAATAATAGACGACTTTCACAAAAGTAGAAGATACGGCGTTTCGCATGCGCGCGAATACCGTTTTGTGGTGTAACGTAAAATTGCACGCGTGATATTGTGCTACTGTGTGTACTAATTGACGTGACAGAAATAATATTCCCATTTATCGACTATCAGCAGCAAACTGACATGTTTGTTTTTTCTCAGCCATGACAAAATGGGAGTATTTTTGCACCCCAGTCTATATGTAAATTAAGGTCACCGCATAAACTGTCATATTTTTGACTAAGAACAAAAAAAATGACTTCGACGTCGTCTGATAATATAGAAGAAAAAATGTACTTACTATTTTCAGCAATACAGTACTGCAAATTAAGAAAGTTTATAATTAGAATGAATTATAGACAAATTTCAAGCTACGATGTCGAAGGCCTTCGATCCCAGCATGCTTCACACAAGGGCACTCTGCGTGAGTAGTGACGTAGCGTGTGAATTAGTCTTCCGTGTGGAAGATGCATGCGTGTACCAAAAACAGTATGTACATGCGGGTCGATGTTTTGGCTCTGACCATCGATCCATCATACTTTTTTTTTTTCAATTTTGATCCATCGTACTTCAGTAACACGCAGCAACTACGATGCGACTGTACACATTTTTTAGAGACAGTTTCAGCCAAGTTCAAATTTTGCACTACTGAGCATCTTACTGCACATACATGCAATGTATTGTGGGAGATACTGTAACTTCAATTTCTGCACTACTGAGCATGTTTCTGCACATACATGCAATGCATTATGGGAGATAACTTCAAAAGTTGCCCTACAGTGCTGCAAATTAAGACAATTTACGATTAGAATCAATAATAGACAAATTTCGAGTTCCGCTGTAACCCTAGAAACGTGTGCGCTCTAGTGTAATCACGTCCCAATTTTGTCTTCGTATG